AATATAATTCCCTGACGTAGCATGACCTATTCTAAAAATACTTTCTATGAATTCAGTTTCTATTATAAGTAGAAAAAACTTACACTAATTGTAACTAAAGAACCGTATTAAAAGAATGCAACCCAGCCCCAAATGGACGCTGGGCCCTTTGGGATGTGGCCCAGCCCAAAGTTCGTGCTGGGCCATTTCTGGTGACCCTAGATAACCATCCCATGCTGGAAACAGCTCTCTAAATGTATATACTAATTCTACAAATATATTTTTAAATCTTATAAAGAAGCTTGTATCACGTATAAGGCTCCCAAATGTGATCTGAGTTTGAACTGTGTTAAGTTTAAAGCCAAAACCGCAGTCTGTGAGAAGCGGGAACAATGGATCCCTAGAGTCAGCCATGCCTGTCATATTCTCAGAACTTCATGCTTAGATCATCAAAATCCCTACCAGTGGGTAATGCTAAACAACAAGGAAAGGAGGAGGGAATGGGCCTTTAGCTACTGAACCAGCCTGGTGGTCTCAGGGTCCGCAGCCTGCCTGGATCCCTAACGCTCAGGCAGGCCTCCACGGCTGGCTCCCAACAATGCTAGGGTGTCAAACTGGGAAGTTTTGACACCTGGAACTTCAGCAGACAACAGCAGGGAGTTTTTCTCTTAATCCTGTGGACTTCAACCATGAACTGAGAAATCATCTCACTGGGACACATGTACATTCATTCGCATGAAGCCGGGAGCCATTACAAAACAGGATTTAGGGTATAAGTGAACCAAAAATGGGTCGCCAATTTGGGGAAACGTTTTGCTAAATAGCCGCCATTTTCAATGTGTGTATTAACTTCTGGCTAATAGACCAATAGACCTGGCTTGAGTCATTGTATCCATCCTTTTTTTGGAAATGGATTCACTCTATTCTTAACAGCTAATCCAGGCACTCAGTCTTATTGTTGATAGTGTTCCAATTCAAAACTTTACTGTTCTTGAAACTCATCTAAAATAGTAATTCAGGAAACTTATTTCTGTAGCTTTAAAAAGTATATTAAACTTAAAATTTACCTTAGATAAGCAGCATCATTTACAGAATTAAAATGCAGAACAAAAATGTAGGAAGTACTCAGTTCTACTCCTCTCCCCACTTCTCATTAACTGGGAGAATTCTGGAAAATGACTTTTATCCCTAGTTCCTGAATTTTTTCCCCTGTGATCTACACTAGTCACCAAGTGTGTCATGCTCCCAAGACTCTTCTAAGAAATGATGATTAAATTATCTTTCCAATTCCACAGGGATCATACTTGCTGAATGATAAAGAGGATAAATGGTTTATATTTTAAAACTACTTACTGTGGATAAAATTGGGGATTTTCAGGATGCTGGTCTTTTTACAAAAGTTCTAAGAGCCATAGTTTACTAAATGACTTCTTTTTTAAGTGACGGCACTGGTATGTACTAATAAACAGAAAGTCTCATTAGTATCCTTTCTTTTCCACTTACACATACTCTGTGTAGCTTAGAGGCAAAAGTGGGATTAACTTGTTTTGTCTCATGGGTAGAGAGATGTTCAGAAATTAAACAGCAGACCAACTTGAAACAGACAGTCAGAAGAGACCTCATCATTAAGTGATATTTATGATGTTCCCATATTCACACAACTCTGCTAATTTACAGAACTCAAACCAGCTAATAAACTTTATGTATTTCTTTCCTCCCCGTCTTCCATGTGTTCCTGTTTTCCTACATATTAGTTAGAACTGTCTTTAGCTGCAAGTAACAAAACCCAACAAAAATAGCTTAAGTCATATGAATATCTATTGTTTACTTAATGAGAAGTCCAGAAGTAGATATTGTCATGGTTGTGTGGCATGTCGGCGATACGATCAAAGATCTTTATTCTTTTGTTTTACCATTCCTAGAGTGCTGGTCTGTTGTCCTGTTGGTTGTCATTGTATGTTCACAAGATAGCACAGTTTCCAGCATCATTTCAATACCAGGAAGCAGAACTATAAAGGGCTGGTGCAAAAAAAAAAAAGTGATTTAGCACTGACTAGTTACAAAGAGAATACAAAGAAGAGCACTAGCTTCTCATGGTAGTATAAGTCAAGAAATGTTGAAACGGAGAACAATAGCACTATTATGCATTTTGTGCCAAGCGTTGTACTTGATCCCCATCTTACAGAAATAAAAAAGATGAGATAGCAAAATTAAAAACTATTTTTGCAAAAAAATCTTTGAATGATGTTTTAGCCTACCATTCTATACAAAACATTTTCCTTCTGTCCCAGATATGGACATGAGCGGTTCAGATCAACCTTCAAGGAAGGACTGCTGCCTCAGCTCCTGGAAGTGTTTTCAGCAGATACCCTTCAGCTGGCAGTCCTAGCTCAAGAAAAGAACTGCTTCTCCCAAAGTCACCCCTCTTTGCGTGGCCCAAATCCAGTGACTGATTGGGGTGGGAGTATACAGGTTAGGTATTCTGGTTCAGTGGGGAGCAATTCTCATGGGCCAGTTCAGCTAGACTTCTCTCTCTGCCTGTTCCTGGTTCCTCTTCCTTCTTTCTACAGGTCTTGGTCCTAAAAGTGCTTGCTGATAAATACTGTGAACCCAACTCTGTCTCAGAGTGTGCTCCCAGAAAAAGTCAAACTGTGACAATTTTGACAATTTTTAAGATCTCTTCTACCTTCTGCTTATATTTTTATTTTACATTATTGCAGACATACTGAAGTACTACTTTTATTCTAATCTTTCAACTTAATATCCTATCGCGAACAGTTCATGTTGTTCAATAGTCTTCAAAATTACCTTTCTAAAATTCAAAACCAAAGCAACATAACCATATCACAGAATGTTTGAAAAAGAGAAAGTTACCCAGAATTGCATTACCAAACATAGTTAATTATTTTGGAAAATTTCCTTTAAGTTATTTTTTCCAATGAATAGTTTTGATAAGGTTGTAGTCACAACGTATAAGCAGTGCCCCTTTGTTTCTACATTCATTAAACATTATTTATTTACTGATTTATTTTTATGCTCTCACTTGAGCCAGAAAGGACTAAAGGTAGCCTATAAGATTTCATAAATTCAATATGATGCAAGCCAGACATCAATTGGGCCTTCTATTCCTCAGATATTGATGTAAACACGCATCGAACACGTAAACACTTGGCAAGTGAGAATCCAGAGCCCTCCTCGAATTGTGAGAGTTTCTGACTTCTCTGACATGTGCTTTTAATCTCACCTCCACGTCTGCCTAATGGTGACAAGCGGCTGCCCAAGCCTTGCCCGTATCAACCTGAAGGTGAGGAGCACGGCACCTTCGCCAGGTGCCACACACAGGCACCCACAAGACCCACAAAACAGACGAAAGAAGTAATTAAAACCCACTCGAACCAGGCGTTCTGTGACTGCGCTCACGTCCCCGAAGGTTGGGAGACCCCGTCTTCCTCCCTCCTACTTTTCCCCTCCACTGCTGGTGTGACAGACAAATTCTTCTCCTCGCCCCAGGCCACAACAGCTCCACCCAATTTCAGGCCCTGCAGACTGAGCCGCTACCAAAAAGCAGCTTATCTGAGCCTTTCCTCAACAAAGGCAGGTTTCATCCCACGAGGCAGTCTCTGTTTCTAAAGACTGAGAAAAGAAAAATATTTTTGGATCGCTACATTAATACAAAGGAGTGCGGGAAAATGAGAGTAGAGGGCGTGACACCGGGAGAGAGGTTAGCACAGAAGCGTCTGTCATGCAGCTTCTGTATCCGAGAAGTTGCTAGGGAAAGAAGAGGAAGGCTTGAATAAGACAACACGACAAAAAAGTATCTGAGTAACTTAGCAGTTGGTGGGATCTGCAGAACAGAAGAGGTGGAGAAGCACAAAATGACGTCAGAATGATGACTCAGGGACGTTTAGAAAAAGCGGCCCCACCATGAAATGAAATGAGGGACTTGCAAAGGATCACCCGTTTGGAGAGGAAGGTGACGTGTCTTTCTCCACAGGTAAGCATCCGGCTGAATTTGTCGTTGGACTTGGAGTGTGAGGAGGACGTTGGAAGGGCTATTGCGACTGCTCTGGCTGCCTGTGAGCATCTGCAAAGGACGATCAAATGATACTGTCACTATCAAAACAGCCCAAAGAGAAGGAAGATTTGTAGTAAGGGGTGGGCTGAATCAAGACACTGTTTTTGTTTGGCGTCAGGGGATGGGGTGGTGTGGAGATAGGGATTAGTGGAGGAAGTAAGAGGTTGTGTCTGTGACTTCCAGGGCGTTCACCATCAGGACTTTTGTTTTCTGTTCTTTTGCCTGTCTGGGAGCTGGCATTGTTTTGTGAGAGGGGAAGGCATCTTGCTGGGGATAAGAAATGATTTTCTGCCACTTGCTGCTGCTAACTCTGCTACCATAGCAACCAATTTCATCAGCCAGGAGGGAGGATTTTACTACAGAGACAGCCTATACTGGACTGCTGAGATTCAAAGGGAAATATTTACAGCTTTGTCAGTATACTGTTCCAGCTTAGATTGCAGCAGCATGCATGGAAGATTAAACTCTATTTCAAGGTTGTCTGAAGACTCTAGTCATTATTGACTCCAAGTAACCTAGTTTTTGACGAGTTACGAACAGCAAAACCTTATAGGATAAACAGCCCATGGTGGTAGGGTTAGTTTATCTTTTTTCCCCTTTAGCTCTGTTTATGATGAAATTATTTTGTCTCTTTGGAGTTTAAATTAAACCAAAAGACAAAAAATTATTGGGTGTGTCAGATGCTGGACCTTGTGGACACTTTTTGTCTCACGTCATGCAGAACTCAGAGAGTTTCCTTATTCCCCAATAAATGGCCTCTCCAGCAAGCATTTCGCTGAAGGCTTGATGGGGAAGCTGGTTGATATCACAGAGCTCAGAGCCCCCTCCCCACGTGGACAACATTTTCTCTTGTCTTTCATTGTGACTGGTGACTGAGTCTCCTCTATCCTCCACTCCCACCGTCTTCGCTTCAGCCCTTCCTCCCTCTGCATCTCTCCGTTCTTAAACACGACAGTAGGGTGTGGTGCCGACTCCTCCAGCTGGGGTTCCCCACCTTGATTTCTTAAAGCCGTCTATAAAGACAGCCAGAGGTCATCACCCTGAGGGTGCTGGTGAATTCATTTGTGCTCCACAAACAAAATCTTTCATTTACTAGAATCTCCCTTACTTAAGTGATAGAGGTCATTGTAAATAAAAATTTTCCCCTGTTTACTTGCTGTGTTAAAAATATATATGTGTGTGTGTGTGTGTGTGTGTGTGTGTGTGTGTGCGTGTGTGTTCTTGTAGGCCTCTGCATGCCTTTGGCTTGAAAGCCAGGTTTTCTTGACTTTTGAAGTCGAGCACCTCTCCAGATTAATGCAATAGCAAAATCTGGATATACTGCTCTGCACCAGAGTATAAAGAGTGAGCTGAGCGTAAGTGTCTAAGACTCTCAGATTTAGATTATCTCCCTTCTCTTCTAGTGTAAGATTGACTCTGATCTTAGCTAGGTGTGTGGCTCTAACTCATCTGTTACAGGACTCAAAAGATTGTTTTACTTCTTTTCCATCCCCCAGGGGTGTTTCCCATTTTAAAAGATAATCTTGTTAGTTAATCTTAATTGGTGTTTGCGTGTGAAGAGAGAATTTGAAGAGGAAGATATAGAGAATTCTTGCAGGTTGCCAGCATTTCTGGAGCCAGCATTACTCCACTCTCAAATAGAGTTCTTCAGAGGATTAAATACACAGAATCAGCTAAAAAATACTCATCAAGCCGGGCTCGGTGGCTCAGCCTGTAATCCCGCGCCTTTGGGAGGCTGAGGTGAGTGAATTGCCTGAGCCCGCGGGTTCGAGACCCGCTTGGGCAGCGAGACCTCATCTCTACAATAAATCAAAAAATCAGCCGGGCGTGGTGGCGCATGCCTGTAATTCCAGCTACTCGGAAGGCTGAGGCGGAAGGATCACCAGAGCCCAGCAGGCCGAGGCTGCAGTGGCCGGAAGCGGCCACTGCACTCCAGTCTGGGCGACAGAGTGAGACTCCAACTCAAAAAAAAAAAAAAAAATACTCATCATTGGACGTGAAAAGACTTTCTACCAAACTTCCACCTAAAACAGAAGATTGCTCATTTATTATTTTTTTATCTATAGATTTGCAAAGACGTTGTTGTGGTCTTTGGAGATCAAAAATATATGTTATTATGGACATTGTTCATGTCATGCTTGACTTTTCCTCTGGCAGAGTTTCCATTTTACTTCACTTACGTGGCAGTCAAGGAAAACACTAGATTCAATACGAGGCTCTTTGGATGAACCAAAAAGTACTGCTCTTTTCTTTCTTGAGAAGGGTGATGACAAATTCAGGACTTAAAATTTTTTAAATATTTGGCATCATAGGAATTTTCCCTCTGAGTTGTTTGCTTTAGTCATGATGGACATACAAAAGGACGTATGTGTTTAATGTATACAACTCGGTGAGTTTGGAGATAAGTGTATACCCGTGAAGACATCACTGATATCCATGCCATAAACATATCCACTTTCTCCAAAAGTTTCCTCTCAGCCCTTTTCTTTTCTTTTCTCTCTTTTTTTGGAGACAGGATCTCACTCTGTCGCCCAGGCTGGAGTGCAGTGTCATGATCCCGGTTCCCCATGGCCTCAACCTTCTGGACTCAGGCGATCCTTTTGCTCAGTTAGCCTCCTGAGTAGCTGAGGCTACAGGCATGTGCCACTACACCCAGCTAACTTATTTATTTATTTATTTATTTTGTAGCGACAAGGTCTCACTATGTTGCCCAGGCTGGTCTCAAACTTCTGGATTCAAGAGATTCTTCCGCTTTAGCCTCCCAAAGTATGGGGATTACAGGCATAAGCCACAGCACCTGGCCTTTATTGTCTATTATTATTTTGTACGTGTGTGTGACATCACCGCTTAACATAAGATCTACCCTTTTAGTAAATTTTAAAGTTTACAGTGCAGTATTGTTACCTCTGGCACTGTGCAGTACTGTAGACCTCTAAGATTTATTCATCTTGTATAAATAAAACTTTGTACCTTAAACTAATACCTCCTCATTCTCCCTCCCTTCCCAGCCCTTAACATACCCAGGAGACTGAGTTAGAAGCAAAAGGATCGCCTGAGTCCAGAAGGTTGAGGCTATGGGGAACTGGGATCACATCACTGCACTCCAACCGGGTGACAGAGTGAGACCCTGTCTCAAAACAAAACAAAACAAACAAACTACCATTCCACTCTGCTTCCATGAGTCTGACTATTTTAGGTCCATCATATAGTGGTATCCTGCAGTATTGGACCTTCCGTGTCTGACTTATTTCACTTAGCATAATGCTCTCTAGTTTCATCCATGTTGCCGCAAATGGAGGGATTTCCTTCTTTTTTTTTAAGGCTGAATAGTATTCCATTATCTGTGTATGCCATATTTTCTTCATCCACTCATCTGTCAACAAACATTTAGGTTGCTTCCATGTTGTCTTAGTCCATATGTGATGCTATGACATAAATGACCACAATCTGGCTAATTTATAAACAGTAGGATCAATTTTTCGCAGTTCTCGAGGATGAGGCGGCAAAGCACTGGCTGCTGTCTGCTTTCAAGATGGTTCCTTGTGGCTGTATCTTCCAGAGGAGACCAACACTGTGTCCTCACACGGCAGATGGGGCAGAAAGGCAAAAGTGAGGGAGTCAGCTCCCTTGCGTTTCTTTTACAAAGTCATTAATCCCAGTTGTGAGAGCTCTGCCCTCATCACTTAATCACCCTAGGTCCAAAGTGTGAATTTTGGAGGGAGCACAAACGTTGAAACCACAGCATGTGTCTTGGTTATTGGGAATGATGCTACACTGGACAGGGATCTGCAAATATTTCTTCGAGATTCTAATTTTAATTCCTTTGAATGTATACCCAGAAGTAGGATTAACTTCTGTAGTTTCTTTTAACTGTCTGAAGGTATTTTAGGATCCCTGATGTTTATTTCTCTTCTAAATACAGACTTAGTGTTAGAAGTAAAGTTACTGAGACAACACAAATTAAGACACCATCTCTCTTCTCAAGGAACTTACACCAAAGTAGAGGAGACAGACAAGTTAATAAACATCATGATGCAGTGTAAGATGGGCAATGACAGGGTAAGCCCAGAATGTCAAAGGAAAAAATTCAAGGGTGACTGCCTGGCCTGGAGAAGTGGCAGGGAGTCAGGAAGTTTTCTCAGGGGAGTTAGCACTGATATGTAAGGACCAAGATGAATTGGTCTGGTCAGGACAGGGTAGGAATGAGCAAGGGTGATCTAGACTGAGGAAACAGCAACAAGGCACAGAAAATATTGCTTGGCAGATGAAAATGTTATATAAACACAACTTATTGAGAGTCTATTATGTGCCAGGTACTGTGTGCTATCAATGTCTATGTTATTCATACTTCAAAACTCTCTAGGGAATGTCATGGCTATTCCTTTTCTAGAGGCAAGGAAACAAAGGTTTAGCAAGGAGGAGTGCTTGCCCAAGGTCCAAGAGTTATGACTGAACTGGAAGTTCAGGCCAGATTGGCCTAACTCCAGGGGAGTTTCGTTTAATTTCTCTTATGTAGATCCAGTGTAAAATTGGACTGAAAGAAGGCATAAATATTTCTGGTTGATTCAATTTTCTGATAAATCCCAATTATGACAAATGAAATGATTGCACAGAACCCAGATGTTTGAACAAGCCTTTGGATATAAAATATAAACCTGAGATTGAATTTGATGATTGAAATTTTTTGATCAAGCACAAATTACAATATCTTTTTCTGACATGTCAGGGATCCAGTTCCCAAATCATGGCTTGATAAAAAGGTTCTATTTATTTTATGATTGGAAATGTGGAGGTTGGGATTGGTGAGGTCAAGGTAGGAGCAGTTGTGACTTTTTTCTTCTTAAGGAAATAAACCAAAATGATAAAATAAATGAGTAGCGCATTAAGTGTAGAGGTTTTAAATACATGTGTAATCAGAA